GCTACACAATAAATGTGTTTGTGATATTTTTAAAATATTTTATTTTACAATTTGTACCCCATATTTATCACCATGAATAAAATATTCAGGTTTTCTAATCACGTTTAATATATCCAATATACCTTTTGTGTTAGTTTTGTTTTTTCTCCACTAATTTGTTATTCCTTCTTGCATTTTCTCGTGATCTTTGTAACCTTTATTGTGTTCAGGGTGGCGGGGAGTCCATCTTGATATGCCCTGAACTTCCTCGTCTCACCTTCCTCTGTCCTCCTCTTCCTCCCCGCAGGTCTCCAAAAAGCTGGACCTCCGCAGTTACACGGACCGGCTGTGGGAGATCCAGGCCTGCAGCGCTGTGCAGGGACTGGGTCTGCAGCAGGCCTTCATTTCTGTTAACAAGATGATCCAGAGGAGCTGAGGGTGGTGAGGAGGAGGAAGAGGAGGAAAGAAATAAGCTAAGAGGACAGCAGGAGAATTATAGGATGGCACTGACACATTTTACCTCAGGTTTTTATTTATAGAGATGAAACCAATAAAGTTTTTATTGATTAAACAGTGTAATTATATTAAATACTTCCTGTTTCCACTCTGACAGATGATTATTTGTAGGATCGTATTTACTGATTTTACTACATCTGGTTGGTAAACGGACAACTTTACAGCTGCTTCTTCTTCTTGGTGGCGGCACTTCTGAGCGCATGCAGATCTTTGAGACAGAACCAAGACTGGAGCAGCAGCAGGACAGGAATCAGGACCCAGATTCCGTTAAAGAACAACAGGTAGACCCATAGATGGAGCCAGTTGGACGTGTTCAGGTGAGGACTGCCCTGCAGCCAATCAGGACAGAAGGTCATCCAGCCACCGTACAGCTCGCACACGCACAGAGACACCTGCAGGAAGTGCCTGTAGACGGGTAAAGGATGAATACAAGTCAGACAGATGGACAGAGAGTGAGACAGGCAGAGAGACAGATGGAGCCCATAGAGTTAAATAACACTAGACTGAGTCCTGCTTGTCCTGCCCACTGTTAATATCTGTGACCTCACGGAGGAGCGAAAATGGCGACTAATTAGTGCAACAGCTCACAGCCCAACTGGATCTATGTCACAAAATTATCTAATATTTTTACAATAAATTAATATTAAGTGTGCTAATTTCATTTAAAATTCATATAAAACAGCTAAATATTCTAAATGAGGAAAATGTATCATAAGTAACAATGATCTAAACCAGACCTGAGGTCAATAACTTAGACTTTTTAGCTTGTTGAAAAATTACTTCAACTATAATAAAGGTAATTTATTATTTCTTACCTGTCATAAATAAATCTTTACCAGTCGACACTTAAAAATGTTCACTGTATACCTG